CCCTCCCCCCCTTCGCGCCCCGTTCCGCTCCCGCCCCCGCGCGCCGCTTCGTCGCCAGCTCCTCCAATCGCAAGACCAGCTAGATCCAACGCATCGAGATTCTCTTGGTTCCTGCTCTCGCGGCGGAGTTGTAGGTAGCTGTTGAGTAATGTTGCAAGTCTGCTCCATGCCCCCCCTGTTCGGTGTACACAATCCAACAGCGTACCAAACGACTTTGCATTGTCTGTCCTTCTCCGCACAGCCCGAGACAGCCAACACGTTATGGCTCCGACGTCTAACGACAACGTGCTGTGCGAGCCGTGTCTTGGCGAAAAGCCAAGTTCTGCCCGTTGGGGTAAGACATCGCAGCCAGCTTGTCCCGGCAGGCATTTACTATTGTCAATCCGGGTCCGACTCTGCTCCGAACGCGCGGGAAAATCTGGGGCCAGTGGCTGGCCCATCTCTTGTCCATTTACATTTCGTACCTATGTAGATACTGTATTCTAAAAACAGACCGCTGGTATCTGCCATGCCGCTCCCACCTAGTTGGCTTGCCCCGACCCTTGGACGTCTTGCGAGCCCGTGACCCTGGATAACCACATCCCAGCCTTCACATGGCGCTATACATGGGCGTGTAATAACGAGGTGTGCTCGATTCGCCCCCGCCGCTCTCAGATCCCCCGCACCATGCCGCAGACCCCGTTGCCGGGTCCCCCTCTTCCACATTCCCTTCGGACCACTTAGTCGCCGCCACTCTGCTTGCCACCTTGCGTGGCTGATAGTTCCGATTTCTATTCGTGATAATGGATGCATTCGACAAGAGTTGAGACGCCTGATTGCGTCACATAGTTCGTGGTGAGCAGTAGCTCCCCATCAAGCCTTGTTCCACAGGCACCAGGGGACTGCCCATTTCGTTGCACATGTCTGTCAACGTCGGGCTCTGGAGACCACCAGTCCTGTACACATGCGTCCAGCCGTAATGTTGTCCGCGGGGGACGGCTGCAGTGTCGTTCATGGCAAACTCTTCTCCGAGCATGCCGCTCGATCCATCTGCGATGGGTTGTAACGGCGCCACGGCGCTCATTGCTGTTGGCCGGACTGACCTCCCAGTAGGCTCGAACGAGGCGTATTGTTGATGAGCAGGTTGGCTAGATGTGTGGTAAACCGCCGACCCGGGTAGGCCGAAAATGGCCGGCGGGGGTGTCATGGGCGCATCAGTGGAATCGTGCGCAGTGTAGCCAGAGAATCCAGGTGCGTGAAAAGACACGCTTGATAGAGGCAACTGAGCGCCATCCGTGTTCTGTTGCGGGCCCATGTTGGGGTCCACGATGCAATTCGCATCTTCTTCCGGCGCCGTTTGTGCTGGTGGAGAAGCTGTACGCATCTCGTGCCTCACGGCTGCGGCAGGGCAGACCTTTCTCACGGGAAGGTGGAGGTCCAAGTCGACATCCGGTTGCCCGGTTCCTTGGTGAGACGACCCGAGCAGTACAACGCAATTGATGAGCTTCGGCACGTTTTCCAGGTGCCTGGTCTCGAGCAGCTTGCGCAGTGTGCGCGTTGAGGCTGGGTCCCAGCGCAGGCGGCTTGGGTCGTCGTCTGGCCATGACCTTGACCACGCAGCTTCAAGGCGGGACTGTCTGAGCAGGTTGCGCATGCGTTGAGAATATGACCAGAGCCCCATACCACGGCCCTCCTCGCAATGTCGTATGAGATGGGCAGTGTACACTTTCCAAGTCGCCGCGGCGCTGTTGTCATCAGTTGCCTCAAAGACTTGAAGACAGCCTTCGTAGCCACATGCAAAGACAGTTTGAGGACACAGGACGACTTTGGCCTCCTCCATCCTCATCTGGGAGCCCCCGTGCTCGCTGCGGAGATGAATCTGGTACGCAGTCTGCCAGTCAAAGGCCATCCGGCAGCCGCGATGCTGGCATAGCCACTGTGAATTCGTGTTGTGGAACTGATCGATGTGGCGGCGAAGGTCATTTCTCCGTGTGCAAGTCTTAGTGATTCCAACCTCGGCGCAGAAGCCACAAGCGTAGTCCGACCTGTACGAGGACGGACGGCCACCTGCTCTGTGCCCCGGAGCAGACGATACGGAGCTCCTAGGTGAGATTGAAGGCTGGGATGGAAGTGAAGCAGACGTCCCTGACGCGGACCTCTGAAATCTATGGCGAGTAAGATTCTGATACTTGTCCACGTGGGTTGATGAGTGCGCCCCGGCCGAGACGTTGTCGGCGATGAGAGGGCCCAGAGAGGCGGCGTACGGCAACATGGGTGTTAGCAGTTCACCTGCTGGACTCGTTAACCGTGATTCTGCGGCTGCTGACCATATCAGCAGCAGGGGCCTCACATACATGGTGCTTCACCAGCCACTTCCTCAAGTAGCTGGTCAATCTCATGCCTGCTGTACTTGGACAGCAGGTGGCGAACCATTGCTCGATGCTCTTGGCTGTCGAAACATGGCGATACAGGCATGAAGTTGCTCGTCTCTGAGTCGGGCGTCATGGCTGAGGTTGGGCTCGATGCGGAAGACATGATGCCGCCGCCGGGTGAAAGAAGCTCTCTGGCGGTGGACGTCTTTCTCTCGTGTTGTCAGAGGCTCCGTAGTAGTTGCTGTCGGCGTCAAGGGCCTCTTGGAGAGCTGGAGGACTCATATATAGGCGGGTTGTATGGAGCGGGCGGCCGTCGGAACGTCGTCGGCCGAGTCACGAGGCTTGGGAAGCGCCCGACGGCTGTAAGTCCGACAAATACCACGGTCAGCGACGGCCTGTGTGTTGCACTGTGCGGTGTCTGTCAACAGCCTCGGCGAAGCCTGAGACCGAGGTGCTGTAAGTGGCGAAGTGGCAGTGGACGGGACGTGCCGTAAATAGTCACGATCTTGTAAACTCTAAAAACGACTGTGGCACCCAGGTGTAAAAGACAGAATTGGACGACCGATGCCAGAGAGACAAGATGGTGAAGACGGGAGATTTCGAAGCATACATACGGAGTAGGCCATCCAACAATGGCGGGACAGGGTCTGGCTTTATGGCGTTCGCCACGGCGTGGCCCTGCGAGCTGGGCGTGGCCATCTACCGAGCCTGACGAGGCCGGCGATCCGGGGCACGTTGCCACCCGCCGGTACAAGGCAGGCCTGGCCTGGCCTGGCTGGGAGTCTGGGACCTTGCCGTGCCGTGCCCTGGCCTGCCCTCGACGTCTGGCTCGCCCCTCGCCCAGCCCAAGCCAGGGCGATAACGGGGTGCAGAGGGCTTGGGACGCATGAGGAATGGGGTCGCAGCAGGTGTGGAGGAGGCAGCCCCGTGCGTTGTGCTTGTCAAGCGGCGGGAAGTGGAGAGGAGGCAGCCCGGCGCAGGGCAAGGGCAGAGAGAGCGCGCGAGAGAGGGTGCGAATGCAGTAACAAAAAGCCGCGGGCGAGTCCATGGCAGGACGTGTGACTTGTGCGAGTACATCGGGATGGGGCTGACGAGGGCGTCGCAATGCCAGCGGAGCGCAGCTCAGGCCAGGCCAGACCAGGCCAGGCCAGGCGGTGCCGGGGCCAGTGCTGGCGCTGATGCTGGCGCCGGCGGTGTCGTTGGTGGCTTTGGGGCCAGGCCGGGGAGGAGGAGTGGTGACGATGAGAGGTGAGATGGAGGTGGTGGAGAGTGGGAGTGGCTCTCTGCGCTCTCGCTCTCTGGCTCGCACGCTCCATCATGGATGGATGGACGCATGGATGGATGGATGGGGGGGTGTGCGATTCTCCATTCTCCAAAAGGCGTACGCCGGTACCCCGGACTGGGCGCAATCTTCATACCGGGGCCAGGTACCGCTACCTACCGGCCGTGCCGTGACAGATGCCCCGTACCTGCACCGGTACGTACACCTCACAAGACGTGGCGGCGCAACACAATTGGTGCGAGGGAGGAATCGGAGGAGACAGAAGGCACACGCGGCCCTGGGTGGTTTCCCTTTCCGTCTACGTGCCTGCGGTGTGGGCAGGAGCGACAGAAGCGACAGGAGCTGGCCCGGCACTGGGCAGCTGGGATTCGGGAAGGAGCTGCCCGCTGGGCTGGGCTGGGCTGGGCTCGCTGGGCTGGGCTGGGCACCTCATGGCCCATGGGCACCTCATGGGCTGGCAGCAGGGGCTGGCACGACGAGCTGGCAGGAGCTGGACGGGTGAGCCACGGGGATGGACGGGAAGGAGGGAGGGATTCGCATGGGTGCATGGCGCGAGCAAGGGAGGGAGGGAGACATGGGTTGCTGGACCTGCGCCATGGGGTTGCGAGTTGCAACGCAACGCAACGCAACGCAACGCAACACCAGGCCGCCGGGCTGGATCCTGCATGCCACGGCTGCCCGTCTCCAGCCTCCGCGAAAACGACAAACCGCTGTACTCGGGACCTCGCACACGCACAGTCGCGGATCGATATTCGCGGCCTGGGGGTCACGATCGGTATCATCGTTTGCTGCAGCCAGCGGCTGGTGCGACCTGACGGCCCAAACGGACTCGTCCGTGCCGCTGCCAGCTGCGCCCGTTGATAACGTCGCCGAATGGGGCATAAATTCATTCACCCCAGATCTGCAGCCAGGGAACCCTCCCAAGCCTCGCCTCGCCTCTTCTCGGGGCTTTCCATCGACGATGCCGTCCCCGGGGCGTCAAGGTTCGCTTGGGGTCGATTTGTCCCGCATCCTGCGCACGGGGCAGGCAGCCAACTGATGAGGCAAATCGCCGGGTCCTACAGACTGGCCCGAGATCCTCGCCTAGCACCGCCCGGCGCACCCTCTCCGCTTGTCGTCTGCTCGACGAGTAAGCCTGTTGGCTCGACCAGGCGGTCAAATGAGCGTCGTCTGTTGGCCTGTGCGAGTCCAACGGCTCAACACTGCCATGTGCCCTTCACACGAGTGTCGAGTATGTACATGCACCCGCGCGCCCGCAGTGCAAATCAGGAGAGACTGATTCACAGTCATCAACGGCTGACGAGCGCGGATGCGACCAACAACAGCCATGACAGTGAGTCTGTTCTGCAGCGCCCGAGCCCAGCGTCTTGCCAGGGGCTCCAGCCTGGCACCGTGGCATGGCTCCTTTGGAGAACGATCGCCAGGCGTTCGGGTCCCACGGCCGGGCAGGGAGAGACATGATGAAACACCCAGCACGAGGCCGTGAGCTGGGACTGAGGCAGACACACCACGCAGCGCCGGTTCTCGCCCTCATGCATCTGCCCCAGCTGTTCCAGGGCTTGTTGACGAGCAGCGTCACGACGCACCCGTCCCGCCCCAACAGTCAAAGAATTCACCGTACGGACGAGGTACTGCCAAGTGCGAGCCTTCGCTGACGACTGCGAATACGATGATCTCCTCTCAAGCTGTCTGGTCCTACCAGCGATGTCACCTCCAGCGTACCAAGATTGACCAAGGCATTTCCAGTCAAGGGGCGGTGTCCCACCTGTCAGTCGCTGGCCGGCCGTTCACGGGGTCTCACTCTATAAATTCTCCGGCTGGCGAGTTGAGCTGGCGTCGCTTTGGCGGGCTCCCATTGGGAGGCTCTGGCGCCGCTTGTTGGTGTCGCTGACAGGGATGCGAGAGCGCCCTCATCGACGCGGCACGCAGAGCAAAAGAGGCGTGATGTGCGCGCCACTGATGCCGGGCTTGATCAAGACTGCTGCTAAGTGTCCACAGCCTTGCGAGACTCATCCCGTGATAGGGTTGTTGACCAGCCAGTGCTTCAGGACGACACACGGCTGCACACGCCGTCGGAGGCGCGAGCCCGGTGGGACGGCGCGCTTGTGGTGCCAGCCACACCGAAACCCGAGCGCCATCGCTGCCACTGCCACGGCCGCGAGGATGATGAGTGGGAAGGGAGGCTGAGATGGGCCCCAAACGGCTTGACTCACCTTTCCAAGAGGGGCCCCTGACAGTCCTCGTGCCAAAGTCGCTGGTGCTGCTATTTCTGCCCCTACTCGGGGTTGCATCCGCGGGAGATTGGGGGGTGACAAGTGTCCGTCTTCTGCCCATCATCGACATTAGGCTGGAACCCCAGGAGCCGATCATACCGGGCGCCACCAAATGCGACTCTGCTGCCATGTCTCTCCCCAAGCCTGTCGCCGGCCCATGTATTTTACCCCATGGCGCAGCTTGCATCGTCCAGCGCGGCGACCGTACGAGCATGTCTCTCAGTCTCATGCCGTGGCGTTCGCACCCCCACGGTGTGCCACCCGCGAACCAAGCTGGTGGTCCGTCTGCCACGTCCAAGTCTTTCGTCCCTCTGGCAGCACTAGAATTAGACAGGTCCCCACCACTTGCTCTGCTGCGGCTGACGGTCCGTCACGGGAAGTGGGCAAGGATCGACGGACAAGGTTCTCGGCGCGTGGGTTTCAGTCTGCTCGTGGGAGCACGCGTGCACGTCGCTCGAAGGGGCCACTTCAGTGCGAAGCAGTCCGCACCCGCAAAGCAGACTACGTACTACTGATCTGTTTCTGCCGTGCCGTTCCCGGGTTTCATCGCCTTGCCCGCCACACAAGCGGCGATCGTTGGGATGCCATGGGCGTCTCGGCATCTTGTTGAAGGTCTTTGGTTGCGAAGCAAGGTGCAATGCAAGCAAGGTCCCTTTTATGTACATGCGAGGCATGGGAAACGAAATTGTCAACGCCAAGGAACTTGGCGAGCTAAATTGCACAGCAGTACAGTACGACGTCGTCTTGTGCGAAGCATGTCACGGATGCCGGAGCTGTGTCCACGGGCATCACCGTGGCCCTAGAAACGTGGCCGCCTTTACAAGCAATTCCGCACCTGCATCTCTGTGTTGGAGGAACACCTACCGCTCAAGCACACTGTGCAGCTGGATTATGGGAGCCTCCGATGGAGCTGGTCCCGTCCCAACCACCAACCAGGTCCGGCTCGTCCCACGCGCCACCGCGAACGGGGCACCAAGCGGCCCCCTTGCCGGAGGTGCCACCTCTGATGAGGAGGGGGAAAGTAAGCGCGACGACAACGGAACGTACTGAGGGGACCGACGGCTTGGTCATTGGCTGACGCCTGCGTCAAGGGGACATGGCGATGCACATGAATGGAGCGCAGGGCTGCGTCGTGAATCCGACGGCGGCTAACACGGTCGCGCGGCTTTTGCGACGCCCTGCGCTCTCCCGTTACTTGCACACCCGCTTTTCGGGTCGGATGCCCTCCGTTTGGCATGGCCGGACGGGGGCGTTCCAGGACATGAGACGGAGGCGTTTATTTCAACGGAGAGCTGGACGGAAGTCTCCTGGCCGCTAAGCCCCATGGGGAGGCGTGAACCCTCCCTCACTCGTGGTTGACAGGTTGTCGACACGGGGAGACGGCTTTGGCCCCCAAGAGCCGCTGCAGCCCACCGCTGGGGGACGTTCGTGGCGCTGGAGCGTCGGTCACCGAGCTGGGCAGAAAGTCACGATGGGCACCCGACGAGCGAATATCGCGAGAGCACTGTTCCGTCTTTAACCGGTCGAGATCAGCTGTGCGTCCGCTCCTCGTCTCCGTCAATGTCATGCCCGACCTAATGCTGTGGAGTCGACTGGTCTGAGTAATGAGGGCCAGCACTCTCCTGGCCACCTGGCTTGATCCTGCCGACAAGTCATGGCCACGGTCTGGCGCTCACCCCGGCCACGCATGAGATGCCTGACGTGTTTGGGAAGCACAATACTCGCCAGCATCGCACCTCAATTGTAGGGTAGGTGAGTTGCCCGCCGATATCGTCCGTCCGGGTCCCCTCCCCGGGGACCTGCTTCCAGCAATCGCCGCTGACTGGAGAGTCCGAAGGATCTGTCACTTATTGACACGTACGTCGGCGCATCTGTGCACGAATTATTTGCTCGCCAGCCCGCACGGTGGCACTGAACATGTTGGACAAGACCCATCTTGAGCGCTATTGTCCCAAGTGCGAACTATGGGCAATGGTTGGGATGAGGGTCGCGAGCCCCATTCGAGCCGCACGGACACCAACACACGAACCCGTCTTCCCCCCTTGTCGCCGATTCCCGAATACTCGGGCCGGCGATCCACTTTTCCGGCCGAGAAGCCCGATCAATGAGAGCCGCATTTTCCGCCACCAAAGGCCCAACGACTTCTGAAAGTATTTGAATTTCTTGCGTCAAAGTCGCCATCACATACATAAACTTGCCCCCCAACACGGCTGACTCCGGGGCATGACTTGCTTCCCCGTTCGGACTTTGTCCTATGCGACGGCTGCCTCGTGGGCGTCGTGCAGGTCATGTTACACGGCGTCTCCGCGCCAGGGACGACCCTGGCTGTCATGTCAAGAGCGACCTCGTACTTGGTGGCACTCCAAACCAACAAAGCACTGCGAGCTGCCGCCGCGGAGAGCGACCCGGCAACGCAGCCCAGCATACCATTGTTCACCGGCCGGCATCGCAATCCAGTCCCAAAGTGTCCTGACGAGACGTCAGCGTGGCGAACCGCCTCGGCCGCCCTCACGCCGAAATCCTGCACACCGTCCCGAGCCGCCATCACTCGGCGGTCGCACTGAGAGGCGGACGATAGCCGGGAACGACGCTGATTCAATCACACTTCCCCAGTGCGATTGTCACCTCGGTGTCCGTCGTTGCATCGCGACCAACCATCGCGCCTGCTAGGCCCTGACGGCGTTTCGCATCTCTGCTCACACCGTCTATCCTCTCTGTGGTCCTCGGTTCTCGCCACGACGGCCGGCGAACTCTCCTTCGCTCGCCGGCGGACTGTGGCAATATACAACTTGAGATACAGGTGGAATATCTGGCAGCATTGTGGCAGAATCGTCTATGGGGGTACCATGTGCTCGGAGAGACCCTGCGATGCACCCCGAGGATTGCGGAGTGTTGCTACCGAGGTCACCATTACACTGCAGGTGCCGCGTCGTCGGTACGGATGCCTGCACGAACGTGACGCACCGAGTCGGGGCCGCCGCCGTCCAGCCCCCTCGTTGCCTACCGGCTCTCGAACATTCTCCCGGGGGCCATTCCCACATGCATGAGACGAGCACGGATGAGTACGAGTTGTTTTGTGGACATGTCTTGCCCACTGTGTTCTATTCTTTCTGCAGGTACCCGACCCACGAAGCTGCGCTCGGATGATTCCATCAATGGCGGCGACTCATTGACACGTGCACGCCGTTGCCTGCCAGCTATCTGGTTGCCAGGTTCTGTTCACGAGACACGGAATGTGGACGAATTCGCCCTCACAAGAGGCGGCTCGGTCCCGAAAGGTCACCGGCTCGTCTTGCGCCGCGAGCCCCTCGGCCAAGGACGCCGCGAGCACCGCCGCGCGGGAACTTCACACCCGCCTCCTCGCTCTTTTCCTAGAGACTCAGCTCTTGACAGTCGCCCCGTCGACGCGGTAAATGGCACTACCGCCCGCTGGTCGACTGACGACGACGGCGTTTTCGCGCTGCTCGTCGGTCAAATCCTTGTTGGCGTAGTACTCCCGCTCCAGGGCCGCTTTCACGTCGGCGACCTTGTTCGCGGGGACGAGATGGACGCTGCAGCCGCCCCAGCCAGCGCCTGTCAGTCTGCTGCCGTAGGCACCCGCAGCGCGGGCTATTCTGCAGATCTGGTCAAGTTCGGGGCAGCTGCACTCGTAGAGGTCGCGGCACGAGTCCTGTGTCGCATTCATGAGAGCGCCGAGCTCCTCGTTGAAGGGGGTCGTGTCGGACCGTCCGGTGTGGAGCGGCCGTTCCAGGAGCGTGATGAACTTGAGAACGCGCAGCGCCTCGGTGAAGACGTGAAGGGCACGCTGGCGCAGCTTGAAGCGCTCGGCGCGCACAGGGAAGCTCGACAGGAAGCGCTTCTCGAACTCGGCCGTCGACAGGTTGAGCACCTTGGCAATCTCCTCGCGGGTGTATCCCTCCTCCTGGGTGAGCTTCTCCTTGGTCAGCTCGACGAGCTTCTGGAGCTCCTCCTCCTGAGTGATGCTCTTGACGGCACTGTAGTCGGAGGCGTTCTGGTGGTAAAAGTAAGTGTCGTGGAAGCCGCGGAGGCTGGTGCCCAGCGAGCCGGCGTCGGCGGGCAGCTGGGTGCCGGGTGGGTTCAGGACGGCGTTGAGGTAGGCGGCCGCGAGCGTGACCTCGACGACACGAAGGTTGTAGTGGATGGGGCCGGTGACCTGCTTGTTGGACTCGACGAAGCTCTGGGCGATGACGAAGCACAGCTCGGGGTTCGTCGGGGGGAACTGCACCGGTCGTGCCTCTAGGCGCGGGCTGAAGGAGACGAAGAGGGCGGACCCGGGCTCGGAGAAGACGGAGGCGGACTGATCCATGCTGCGGAGAAGCGCGTTAGCGTCGCGAACAGGCTGGGTGCGATAATTGAGGTTCGAAGGCACGACATGGGCAGAGCGCAAGAGAGAGCAAGGAAGGGGGGGACACATACCCGCCAGAGTTGACGCCGACGGCGCGCTCGCTCACAATGGCGAGCTCGGTCAGCTCCGTCTTGTCGACCGTCTTCTCGCCATTGGCGATCATGACGGCGAGGGCGGTGGCGCTCACAAAGGCGGCGCTGGAGCTCAGGCCGCCGCCGACGGGGACGTTACCGTCCATGAGGACCTCCATGTTGCAAGGGCGGCAGCCGGGGCCCTTCTTCTTGTGCAGCAGCTCGAGGGCGCCGCGCAGGCCGCACTTGAAGTAGTTTGTCCATTCGAACTGGGTGGCGTCGATTTCGACGGGGCCAGCGAGCGGCACGGAGAACTCTCGGGCTGGAAACTTGTCGCCCTCGACGTTGGCGATGCGGATGGTGAAGGATGTGGCGCCGTCGGCAACGGGGCTCGCGCTGACGGCAAAGAGGGCGTCGAAGGTGATGGCCATGGGCAGGACCGAGTAGAGGGAGTAGTCGATGTGCTCGCCGATGATGTTGACGCGGCCGGGGGAGCGCGAGACGAAGTCGGCGCGGTGGCCGTAGACGGCCTCAAAGGTGGCGAGGAGGTGGTTCCATCGCGGGGCCTCGTGGGCGACGGCGGGCGCCGGGTAGATGTCGGCGAGGGCGCCGGCAACGGGGACGGGACCAGACATGGTGAGGAAGCGGCGAGGTCTTTCTGGCTCGGATCAGGACGATGGTGGCAGCTCAAGGTAGGAGACGGTCGGCGATGGCGACGCGGGCAAGTGGTGAAGTGGGATAAGACTGAGACGAGGGCGGACGACCCCGCAGAGCTGCCCCTCGGTGCGGTGCTTGCTTCTGTCTCAGAGCTGTCGACGGAGTAGCCAACGGGGGTGGGATTGCAGCTGGCGCTTGTGACTCGAGCGCGTCGAGGTGCGCGTGCGGTCACTGGTTGTCGTCGCGGGGTTGGGTTGCGTCGAGACGGCGGGGCAAGGCCAAGAGCGCGTCGAGAGTCGAGACAGACGATCGGACTTTGTTTTGAGTCGCGGCTGTTGCGTGAAGTTGTGAAGGGATGCGATGACGTAGCTCGGGAGCACGAGAGCACGGGAACGACAGACGAACGAACGGGCGTCACGAAGAGGGAGAGGGACGCGAGGGGATTTTAAGACGAGAGAGAGAGAGGGACAGACGGACACGGCAAAGTGATGAGGGCTCTCGGGCCCAACAACGAGCAGGAGATCGGTCATGCCATGGCTGGTCTGGTGGTGCCCCCCAATCCGGCGGCGGCGGCGCGGCGGTGACGAAGCGGCAGCGGCATCTCGGAGGCGGTTCGGTGGCATTTGGCAGGCGCGGTGGAGACTGGGGGAGGGACCTAGCTCCCACCTCACTGCCCGCAGTGGAGGTCCTTGCTGGGCCGGAACCCCCGTGGCATGACCTGGACTGTGAGCTCACCCACCCCGCCGGTGGAGCTGCAGCGCTTTTGGAGGCGCCCCAGCGCCCATCTATTGCCCTGGATGCGTCTGAGGAACGTCCACAGGGTGTGCTCAGTCCCAGCGCTGGCGTGCTGGCCGGCACCCGGATCCCCGACGGGCCTTTGTCATTTTGCGGCCGCTGATTGGCGCGCATAACGGACGGGACGGACGACCACCTCTCTCCACTGGTTTTTTTTGTGTGTTATCGCGACAGACAGCCAGCCAGACGCCCCAAGGAGAAGAAGCTCTCGGCGGTTCCTTGCGGGTAGATGACCCTTTCTTTTGTGTGTGTGTTCTAATTTCCATTTTTCGCTTCTGCTTCTTCCTTCCCGTGGGAGGGATGGCGCGTTTGGTGCTGGGCTGGGCAGTGGGCACGATACGCGCTCCAATGCAGAGAGAGGCCGCCGTGGCGGGTCCTCCCTCGTGGGCCGGCCGCGGGCTGTGGCGGGCGGGCGGACTGGCGGCGGCGGTGGTCATGGAATTCTGGAAGGGAGAGGAGGAGAGGAGGAGAGGAGGAGGAGGAGCCCCGCGGGGACAAATTCGGGCTACGTAAAGTAGCATGAGGGTATCGCCACATATCCTCCCACTGTCCGTCCGGATCACGGTTCACCACACTCACCCACACCGGGCTCACGGGGTCACGGGGCCGGGATTCACGGCGACGGGCCGAGATTGGCGAGGTAGGCGCCGACGGAAGGGGGGTCGTCGTCGTCCCACCGCCATCACCCGTTTCGTAAGGTTCAGCGAAGTGCGGGAGGGAGCACCACTCGTACGGCCGGGCGGCGACCATGACCTGCTCCGGCCGCCGAGTGCCGCCGCGACGGCCAGGGTATCGGCGCGTGGCGGTGGCTCGCCCGGCCGGATAAGGTAGGGACGGGAAGCAACAGCAGCAGCAGCAGCAGCAGCAGCAGCGACTGCAGCAACAGTGAGAGCCCCGTGCATTTTACGTCAACTCCGTCGCGTGAGCGCAACGTCGACGCAAAGAGGTTTCTCAACCGCAGCCAGCCACGCCTCAAAGTTGGTAAACTCTTACACAGCAACAGCAAGCCGCAGCAACACGCGAATCAAGAGCCAGCCAGGGGACGTACACATGCAAGATACGCGTACGAAAGCATTACGGAAGACTGCGAGGTGCGTTTTGCTGTACGAAGTGCGTGGTGGGCGATTGGCGAGCGGTGTCCCACGTGTGAAGCGGCGGTGACGGCGGCGGCAGTTGGAGCGATGGTGTCGAGCGATGAGCCCCCCGGCATGGGGACGGCGCCGGAGATGCGCATCTCACTCGGGCGTTTTTTTTTTTTTTTTTGCAAGATGCGAGATTGGCTCGTGGACATGTGTGCGTGCATGCGTGCGTATGTGTGTGACCAAGCTGGCGATGGCCGCAGATCTCTCTTCTGCCGGGAAGGAGCTGCCGCCTCGGAAGAATTATTCAGCCCGCCCTGTCTCTGAGATGGCGCCAGCCAGGAGAGGGAGGGAGGCAGAGCCAGATTGGCGAGATGAGCGGCCGAGATGCCAGATCCGGGCTTCGGCTACGCAACCGTAAGCCGTGGTATATTGTACCTTTGGCGAGGCAGGTTGAGGCCGAGGTTGGGGTACCGAGGAAAGCTCCGCTGACTGATTGACTGGCTGGCTTGACGGGAGAGCCTGACGGGAGAGCCTGAAGGGCTTATTATGATGATGAACGGCGGCACACCACGCGCGCGCAGTTCCGCTGACGAGGTGCTGTTTTGTGAGAAATGGGCCCGCAGAAGAGGGGCAGTGGTGGTGGTGGTGGTCGGTTGCTGCACGCGTGCCGTGATGGAATCTCGCATATCACCCGACTTATGCAGCAGCAGACGCGGCAGACGACAGTCTACCCAGTGCCTGTCTCTTATACACATCTAGATGTGTATAAGAGACAGGTGGTGGTGGTGGTGGTCGGTTGCTGCACGCGTGCCGTGATGGAATCTCGCATATCACCCGACTTATGCAGCAGCAGACGCGGCAGACGACAGTCTACCCAGTGCTGTTGCGGCCCTTTCTGCTGCCCTGGCGTTGAGATGACTGGTACCGAGTACGGACCAAGTTTCTTTTACAAGAGGGTAGTAGAGACGGCCGCGGGAGGCCGCATCGCCCGCGCCCCTCTCTCTCTCTACCTTGTTCCTGTCGCTGCATCTGGTGATCTACCTAATTACCTAGTGCTGCTGTTGCCGCTGCCGCTGGTGCTGCTACCGCACTACCACTTCCATCCACGGCATTAGTACCTAACTTGGTAGCGTCAGCTCGCTTAAGCGTTCGGCCCCTCGGCCACCCGTCCGCCTCATCATCATCAGCACCGCCCTGGAAAATCCCCGTGCGCTCGAAATAAC